TATATTATATATATATTATATATATGTTTTATTGGTTTGATTCTGTGTTTGTAATTGTATAGCTACTAGTCGAGACTGATGTAAAACTTTGCCAATAGGTCTTTAAATGTTTCTTTAAATATAATGGTGCTTGTAGGTTTTGTGTGAAACTTAAAAAGACATTGAGATTTAGGTTCACAATACTAACACTCAGTTAAGATATGCATACAAGCACAGTGATGATTTCAGATTCACTACTTAAATTTATGGTGCTGGGGCTAGTACTTTATCTTACGCTGAACGAGTTCATTTAGGGTAACGCAATTATCTGTCACAATCCACAGTGATTTTTGATTTTTCTAAATTCCCAAATTACCTTAAGTATTTTTATTATTTTTGAAACTACAACAGAAATCCATGTTTTTAGATAGCATTGGTCAGAACTGACTACTGACTTTGGAAATAAGCAAAAGAATTTGAACCTAGGATAATATAAAGAAAATAGTAGAGTCAAGTTTAGTATTTAAAAGTAGAGATTAGTTCAGGTTCTCCCATCTGTAAAAGGGGTTTGCAATAAGAATATATACATTCAGTAGTCACATGTTCTAGGTTTCTGCTTTCAGCAAACTGTAGACTTAGGCATATGGGAGATCAATAACCACTGGAGCCAGCTTCTTCTTTGTTCTGTAATTGGATCTGCAGCATTCTCGAGAGCACGGTAGAAAACTAGCACCCCATGTAACAGGAATACTTGGTTCAGGTAGGGGAACCAAATGAAATCAGATGTAAAGAGTTGATGAATCTACTGTGCTTAGAAGGAAAACCTAGAAAAATAAAGAAAAGAAGCCAGAACAGAATAGTCACACTCAACTGTCCATAATAGGCAAAATCATGGAAAAAGAATCTAGATAAGTGATAGTGTGGGGTCAGGGACAAGGGTGAGAGGGGAAGGGAACTGGAGAGGTGACTACTGACCACCATGGAACTTTTCCTGGTGATAAAATATGCTAAACTTGATTGCAGTGATAGTTGTACAACTCTGTGAACAACCTAAAAACCACTTGGTTGCATGGTACATTCAAAATAGGGGAATTCTGATTTGTGAATTATGCTCCAATAAATTTGTTTTGTCGTTGCTGTTGCTGTTGTAAAATTACACTCAAATTACACTCACAGGCAAAATTTCAAACACACAAATACAGTGAGGTGCAGGGGAGGAGAACATACGTCAGGGGAAAATCACGTGAAAAATTAAATAAAGAAATAAAACCACTCAAAATGAGTCTAAACATTAAAATTCCAACAAATTATAAAATCAATTTATTAAAAAATGCACGCAAAATAACCGACATCCAGTACATGAATTCACCCCAGATTAAATTATTTTGATTAGAAGAAAGGATTCTTATAAGCAGAGCAGATTTAAGATATTGGAAGTTAGGGTTAGTACTAGCTTCTACCTCACAGGGTTGAGGGGCATGAATGAGATTGTTTATGACAAATGTTTAATTGACATTGGTTGTTTTTATTATTATAAATCCTGTTGTTAAAACACTTGGTTCATAGTGTCTAGCCAATATTTCTCTACTCCCTTCTATGGAATCACATTCATTTGAATCCTGCTGCTTATTTTGTGTTGCCCCTTTAGACTGAAGTCTATCACAGTTTCAACAGACTGGAGAATATCTGTTCAAGTTCGAGCCATACCCTTTTTATTACTCAGATTCAAGAGATAGGCAATATCTCAGCTCAAGTAAGGAAACACAGGAAAACTCTAGAAACAAGTTTGTGTTCTTTGTGCTTCAGAGTACCTGATGAAGAGTTGAGAACATCTCATGTGTTCGGATGAACTAGGAAGGTTTCACGAAGCAGGTGGCTTGAGAGTAGTTCTTTGAAGGATGTAATAGAGAAAAATTAACTGCATCTGTGTGTGACCAAGGATCAGTAAAGGAAATGGGCAGGACTGTGAGAAATTTTATAGACTAAATAAAGAATCTAAAACCTAAAGACTAGAAGGTTATATATAATAAAATTCACAGGATCAAAAGCCTTTGAATGGGCAACCTTGATGGAGAATTTTGATCAATTAAAATTAAATTAAATTAAAACTAGCTTGTTATCTATTCAAATAAAACCTTGTGATGAACTCCCCCCATATATGTACGTGTGTGTGTGTGTGTGTGTATCAGAACAGAGACTAGCTGCTGGGTATCAGTTGGAAACTGTTCAAGTGACAACTTTCCTCGGGTCTTGGCATGAGCCCATGAAACGCTTTCGATGAAACCTTAGGATTTAGGGTAGCATGGTTGAAAATTTTTCAGTTTTAATTGTTCCAGGCTACCACTAGTTTATACTGCCCATCTCTGTAAACGAGAAGAAGAATATGTTGTTAAGTGCACGTGACTCAGGGATGCATGACTTGGCAAGAGAGCAGCACCTGAAGAAATTAAGCAAAGATGCTCATATTTCCACATGAACTTCTACCTCCCGGGTCTAAATTCCATTCACACTCCACAGGTAGCAACCACACCATCATTTCTTTAGCCCCAGAGTGCAGTCACACAGAGCACAGATTAAGTCTTGGAGAGTAGACTCAGAAAAGAGCAGTAGGAGCCCTGAAAGGCATTGCAGGCCAGTAAGGGGAGGGAATTCTGAATTCCTGTATACTCCAAGTATGCTATGGGTGAATAGATCCAGTTATGGGGAAGCACATCAATTTGGACCTGAAGTCCACTTCACAGTAGGAAGATACCTCGTCAGAGAAGAACCGGAGTGGGGCCCATGAAAGCAGTAGGATCAAGGTAGATGCTCCTTGCTTCCATCTGAGGATGGGGTTTATAATGACTGTCATGACCTGAAGGCTGACAGGGCATAGCAAGCAGATGATGAGACCAAGGATAGAGAAGGCCACATCCTATGGGGTTGTGCTTTAGGTCTAAGCAAGCAGCCAGGCTATGGAAGGAAGGTGTAGGTAGGACATGAATACCTTGAACTTGCCTTTTCTCCCTCTCTACATTACCTGTCAGTGGGGAGACCAAGACAGCAGCCAGTGGACAAGGGAGGCAGTGGATGTGCTCAATACAGATCAGTCTCTAGGATAAAAAGCAGCATAGATAGAAAAAGGTAGACAACGAATCTGGATAGAAGCAGAAGGAAATCCAATTGTCCTTCTCAATAATTGGAAATAATCCATTGTACACAAAATTTCTTCACCAGTGTGTAGAAAGACTGAAGACTGGAGAGGCTAGAAGTTATGCCAAGATAATTAAAATATTATTTATGCTGCTGAACTAGTTAATCATTCTGTATGTTACCTTATCATCACAATAACATAACCTTGTGATGTAAGAAAATAATTATTGTATGACCTTTCTTTTTTACTTACCTCTTGTCCTCCTTTCATTCAGTTTAGAATGAAGAAAGCAACAATCAACCATTTAAGTAAATTGTAAATTCTGGTTTTTCTGATTCCCTGCTTATTTCCCTGATCAATCTTATTGTCAGCTGTATCTTGGGCATAAGTTGTAGAAAATGTTTGAAAATCTACAGGAGAGTGGCTAAAAAGGAACATTTGAAAATATGGTTGTTCTTAGCTTTCCTTCATTTTCTGCAGACTTGATGTCTGATAGAGAAATGTCATGATAAAAAGATTATAGGAATGTTATTCAGGAGCTTAGATTGCATAGATTTATCTAAGTCCTAATTTTTAAAATGTTTTTTGTGCAGTTCTAAAGTTACTAATTAAAATTTGAAAAATGAAGTGCCATATAAGAAGTTTTCAAAATTTGTGGCTGTGTGTGTGTGTGTGTGTGTGTGTGTGTGATGTTGCAGACCAAATCTGCATGCTAAGAAAGCATTCTACCATTGAGTTAAACTCCACTCCCACAGGTTTTCTATTTAAAAGACTTAACAAGATGATTTTCCAAATGATAATATTTTATGAAAATTTATTCTTATTGAAAAATCAAAATACTGTCTGATAGAAAAAGACTAAGGTACTAAAAACATAGACTGCATTTTCCAAATAGTTTCACTGTTAGGGAATAGAATAATAAGAATTATTGGGGTAGGGACAATTTTTAAGATTGTTCTATACATCCAGTAGGTTTGGAAATGTTACTTGGTAGTGTGTCAAAGGCTCTGAAAAGTTCTGTAGAATTGAGGCACATTCAGTTTGTTTAACCTGTAGCAGAGACCAGTAATTGAACACTGACAAAATAGAGAAGGCAGGTAGAACTCAGCTCTTGTCTAAGCCCTCATTTGACATATATCTCTTTGCCTCAGTATTTTGATGGTTTAAATTGAAGAAACAGTGATTTACTTTGAAGTGTTCTTTGAGGTCACAATGTCTTCTCAGTCCAGCTGATATGAAATGTTATGTTTGAGGAATATGACGCTGAAAGTCTTTAGAGAGTTAATTTTCTCAGAAGGAGGAATGGAAAGTTTTATCTTCTATAATGTCAAAGCACCACAAACCTTCAGCATCATACATTATTTGCTAGTTTGAGAATTTGCTCAAACTCAACAATTACATTTTACATTTTTCCTTCATCTAAGGTAATATCTAAGGTTGTTCAATCCCCTGTCAGGACATTATAAGTGTTTCTATAATAATTCAAAGCATTTTTCCTCCTATACTAGTGAGTTAAAAATACTTGAATTATTAGAAAAGTTTATTGAATTTCAAAAACTTTTAAAAATGAAAATAATTTGCGCTGTAGTAAATATCAAGGCTATGAATTCTGTCTTTCCAGAATTCCCTTGTGATACACACTTTCTGGTTTTCAGACCCATTCCATCTTCCTGCCCTCCCACACACTTGACCTGGGATTGGCCCAAGGAGTGCCCTAAGTCCAACCATTCAAAGGCCTTTCCTAGGGTGAAAAATGTAACTGGCACTCAGACAGAGGACACTCTCATTGTACAGCTACTTGTATATGGCCCTGGGCTGCTGCTGGATATGGTTCTACTCCAAAACAGAAAAACTATGGCAACAAGAGAATAGAGACAATGTGTCAGAAGAGAAACAGAAGCAGAGACATCCAAAGTATTTTTATGTTGATTCGTGAGTAGTTACAGTTGAAATTAATTTTTCTTGCAACTTAAAGTGATGTGCTATTCACAGTAAACAATAACATTTATGTGATTATTTGATATTTATGCTAGGTGTGGAATTTTTATCTAGCAACTCTTGGGAGGTAATTCACTATAGTTATGCTCATTGCAGCTTTAAAAAGTCCTTTATTTGTATATACATAATAAAATATAAAAAAACATAATTTCTTATAAAGAAAAATTTACTTTTTCTTCATACTAATTCAGTATTGATTGCCTAGAAAATATATATCTTCTAGATTACTTCATGAGAATAAACATTTTTTGATGAAAAGTATAAACTAGAACTCCATAGCCTTCAGTTTCTATATATACCTATAGATTATAATTCATAGAAAATATGATTTATTACTAAATCACAGTCTTGATTATTGAGAAGTTAATTACTGTCAGCCAGAAGACAGAGTACGGGATGTTGAAGATTCATGGTTACTGCTCTGAATTTCAATCTGTTGCAGAAAAAGTTTGTGGGTTGTTAGTTGACAGTTGCTGTATAGCGATACATTGAATGATAGCAGGGAATTAAAAAATTAGAAATGCTCCAACTGCTGCTGACAATGATGTTTTGAACTTCAGGTTTTCTAAAACCCTAAAACTGGTATTAAAATTCCATACTTACTATAATTTATCCCTTTACAAATGACCCCTATGTTGTAGTTATGGTTTCAAAGTGTTTTACATAACCTTATTTGATCCTTATCACATTATTTTGAAAAAGTTATTAATATTCCCATCTTATAGGTGACAAAACTAAGATTTTTAGATTTGTATAACTTGATGAGGGTCACTTGCTTAGCTTGTACAGACACAGCAGAGTTTGTCTCAAACTCCTGAACCCCTGGTGATGAACCCACGGCATGCCTGCTGCAGCAAGCCCTCGGGCCCTCTCTGTCAGCCCTGGAGCCGCGTGGCCCCAGCACATGAGCATTCGGGTGTAACTGCAGTGTTGGCGCTTGGCCATAGATAAGTAGCTTGGCGTAGCCGTTTGGGCCTTTGTTCCCTGAAAGTTTCGCCATCACTGTTAGCTCTTTTCAATCTCTCCTTTCCTAACAGAATAACTAAGTAACCATTTTCCAGAGGATTTCATATTATGCATCACATCAAACTATTATACTAATCTCTAATTTGAATAAATTAGATATCTTTTTAAAATGGACTTTTCCATTTTGCTGCTCCCATAACTACTGTTCTCCCCTGGTGAAATGCAGCTGATGCTGTGGCAGGAGAGAGAGGAGGTGAGGAGGTTCATTTCACACTTTGTTTTTACTGCCTTCATCATGCAAGGTCAGGCAAATGAGCGCCAACCACAAATCCCCTATTTGACCACTTGTCCAAAGGGAAGGTGAAAAGGTTTAGTGGGAAAAGTTTGACATGTTATCCTAAAACAAATATGAGAGATTATCTGTAGAATTAAATTATCCATATGTACACAGTCTAGGGAATTAACTCTAGCTGAAATGGTGGATTATTGCAGAAATTGATGTGAAGCCCTTAAGCCATTCCTTTTACTTTGTTCTCTGTCTTTTTTACGATGATCTTTAAAATTATTTTGCCTATTTTGATGCTCCTTTTCAGTATATTCCTAGTCGGTATGTATTTGTGCACTGCTCTAGCTGGTTTGAACAATTTTTAAAAAAGTATTCCCCTGATAGCCCTAGAAGCAGACAAGTATTACTTGAAGGGGAAAAGGAGATTTCTATTAGATTTGAGAGTCACAAGTGAACAGAAGAAATTTGAGAACTATAAAATACTCCACAGACTGCAAATCCTAAAGCAAAACATGACTAACAAGGTTTTGACAAAATAAAAATTCCAATGGTATTTCTCATATCTTTTCATGTCACTTCTAGAGACGCATTCTTTTTCTGTACATAGCTATATATATATACATGTATATATGTATATATATGTATATATATGTATATATATATACATATATATACATATATGTGACTCATGTGTCAGGCACATAACATACATTCAATTTTTACTTTACAACTTTTTCAAATGAAGCCATATCTGAATGAATATCAGGAAAAATAAGCCAAATGGAAATAAATATTAGGTTGTCCTTACCACCTCTTGGCCTTTTGAAAGGTCAAGGAATTATTTTAATGATGAAAGTATAGCTAAGAGAGCTAGAAAAGCAGCAAGTCTATCTTCCTTTTAGTTTATTGTTTGCTACAATTACTTGATATATTGCTGGCAGATTTGATAAATTCAACTTGTCTTTATGACTGCAGTTTGGCAAGATGTTCACAAAAGCAGGAAAATCTCTAGAATGATATGAATGAGTAAAAAATCCACTAAAAGTCTCACTCATGGATTTTTCTGCCAAATAGAAATGGCACATGAAGCAGGAAGCAGAAACACATTCAAACTCATGTAAAAAATTTTACACCTTTTAAATGTCACAGAAACTAAAAATAAACTACCTTCACTTTTATTTAAACTACATCATAGTTTTCCATTGTGAAGCGTTTTCAACAGTCACATTAAGATTTCTTTCATACCTTTGATGCAATTAAAAGATCTGAAGGGATGATATTTTCAATGTCTATTTTTATGTCCACAAACTGGATGCTCAGTGTCAGATACTGGCCTTTTGTGGCCTCCTTTTGTGGGCAAGGCTGACATTGCACTGTTCTATTATGTCCTCTTACCAGCACCATAGCCCTATCTGCAACAAAGAGCTGAGACCCACTCCTGCATACGCTCATTCTGAAATCCGGGTGTAAAATTTATATGCCAGTCAGTGGTTAAGAGTATATGCAGTGTAAATGGGGTCAAGTATAAATAAAATAATACCTTGTCTGAGCAACATCTAATACCAGCCAGATTTGGTATTTCTGGTTACTGTTAGGTGGGAGTCTAAGATGTATGGAAGAGTCTCTGAGGGACCACGTATCATTTTTCATGTATTCCTTTCATCAATGAATGCTTTGGACTAAGGAACGGGTCTCTGTGCTGGTGAGTTGAATTCTAATTTAGTTATATAATTTCAGTTTTCATTAGAATTATGTAGAAGAATTTTTAAAACACATATTTCTAGGCCCCACACCAAATATCTTTTTTTTCTTTTAATCCAGAATGTTCAGTGTAATTTCCAAGTATCCCTTGAATCCCCTATTCTAAGGTACTGTCCACGTGTAGCTTAAATAACTACCCCTCTAACTGGTAATAGGTTGTAGTTAGAAGATATAAGTGTCAACACGTCACATGCTGCTTGATCAGTTGTATGAGTTCATTCTTGAAGTGATAGCAAGAACTTTTAAAACCAATGTTAAGGATATTCCACATGTGATCCAATATAGAAATTTTCAAACTGACCCAAAAAAGTCATTTCTGAGGTCAAATATTATTCAAGGATTTCTCAGTGCTGACTGACCATACAATGAAACGACCTTAACAAAGATGGTGAGATCTTTGAAATTTGTAGAATCTTATTTGTAGCAATTCTATGTCCCAGGCAAAGAAGTTTGTAACAAAAAAAATTAAAAAGTAACCGTAATTTCAGTCTGATAATCCTTGAAGAAGAGAATTGATTTTGTAAGAGTCAAGAATCCTGAGAATCTGAACTAAATTGCACAAGTTACCATGACATCATGACTGTTCTAAACAATGCCTTGAGAGTAAAGCCAAAGGATACTACTGATCCGAAGACTGAATTCATTCCCATGCAGTAGTCCATGTAGGGGAGCTTCCCTGGCCAATTTAAAACACTATACTATGCTCATTAAATGAATGTTGGTAAGTATCTCATTCACATTTTGTCAGGAAGTTTTAATATGTATTATATTGGTTGAAAGAGTAGTATAAATTTTTCATTATTTGTATATTATATCTCTGCAGTGAGTACACAAAAATATGTGAGAGATATAATCACTAGCATAGCTTTAAAACAGTTAATATAAGCAAGTTGTGAGATATAGTACAACAAAATCATTTTGTATAAGCTGTTTGAGACATTCCAAGAGTAAAAAAGAATTTCTAAATTAGTTATCAGGTTTTCCCCCTTACATATAAATAATACAACTAAATATTAATTTTTATTGCTATTTCCAATATAAAATATTTATGCTAAGCAGATTTTCATGTTCAAATATTTCTTTTTAAATTAATTTAATAAAATATTTGTTTGCCCCCCCCCTTAAAACTCCTGATTACCTCTTATAAAATGATGCAGCGGGTAGAGGTCATTTCATTGGTGGTGAAGAGCATAAAAAAATTGTTGAAAGTAAAATGAAGGATTTTGTTCACAATTTCAATTTCTGTTCGACTAGAAATTGGTTAGCAGAAAGAGCTAAGCAAACAATGAATGCTGTGTAATTCTGGAGACCAGAAAGTAAAACTGTGAAGTAATTCTTTATTTATTTTGTTTTCAGGGAATATTATTTTTAGAGACTGCAATTAAAGGATCTTGAACATAAAAATTACGACATCCTTTCTCTATATATTTAATAATGAAAATTTTGATTCCATAAGAAATAAAGGCAACTATTCAGCCACTGCTTACTTTAGAGATAATTTGAATTCCTGGTTTTTCAAAATGTCACTTTAATAATTGCATAATTACTGTATAATGTAAATTCTGAATAGGATATTAGATTGTCATTTCTTTGAGAAACAGTATCATATATCAGCCAGACCTCATCATTGTGTTTTCCACAGACAAGCATGTGTTAAAATTCTGGTTATATTTGCAGTAGCAGGCTACTGGGCAGTCAGCATTTCATTCTCAACTAGGAACCTGATTTCTAGTGTGCACGTCGAACATTTGTAAAATTTAAAAAGAGAATAAATAGCTTCTAAATTCCTTTACTTCTAGAATCATTTTCTGCATAATCAAATGCTATGCAAGACTATTGCACTTTGCCCAAAAATACTGCACAAATTCAGACAGCACAAATGTGCTGTTCCATGTAAACTCCTCTCATGTTGGCTCTTCTGTATTCCCACTGCATCCCATCTTCTAGCTCATCCAGACCTCCCATCTCAGCTCTAATTCTCTGTGCGTTTGTTCCGTATGGCTCAGAACTCTTGGAAAATCATTTCATCCTGTGTTGCCAAAATGCCCTTCAACACCTTGGAAGTGGATCTTTGCAGCCGTACAGGTTTTAGCTCAGTTATCACAATGCTGACAGCTGTTGAAGAAGAGTTATGTTGACATGCATAATGCTGCTGCTGTAGGGGTGTGGCGAAGACCCTCAGATGGACCCACGACACCAAGCACAGATCTTTCCACATGCTCCTCCCCACCTCACCCCTTGGCTATGTGTGACCTCTATCCTCGTAAGCCAGCCTTCTCCCTTATAGCAGGTGATCTAGCATCCTTGTTGGCAGATAAATCCAACGTGAGCTTGCTTAACCTCCCACTCTTCCACCAATAAATCCGTTGTTTTTTGTTTTTCTCCTACCCTTGAGAAAAAAAATATCTCACTGCTCCTTCACTAACCTTTCTTATTTATCATGAAATCTAGTTGTCTACCTCTTAAATAACTCTTAAACTGTCCGCCCAGCCACCCTCCCTGCTAACATATTGTTAGTGCAGATGACATTTCTCATCTTAATTCTTCACTGTGATTCAGTTTTCCTTGGTATCACCAGGGTTAAGTGATGAAACCAGTTTTCACATTGTTGTACTGTAAGAATGCCAGTTCAAAAATACTGATTCTTCAGCTGGAAATCATTTAATAGCCCTTACTGTGTAAAGAATAAACCTATAGTGCAGAAAGTTTTCTCCAGGGAAAGACTTCCCTTCCCTTTAATTCAAACTTTTGTCCACAAAATGGTGAGCTATCACATATTTCATGAGGAACAACGCATAACTCAATTCATCTAGGAGCCCACATTCTTAAATCATCTCTGTGATGCTTTCTTATTCATTCATATAACTAAATTTATCTTAGGAGCAAATCCTAGAAGGTCCCATCTTCTGCTTCTGCAAAGGATCATATACTCAGATTGTAATCATTCTCAGAGCAGAATTTGTTCTCTTTCATCTTCATCCCCATTACACAGTGCCCTTGAACTTTGGTCTTACAGAATTCTTGTGGACTGAAAGAAAGATGAAGTAATGCTATTTCACATATACCTACTTAAACATTTTCAGCTTGGCATTAGTACATAGTTAGTATGACACAGAAGGGAGAATGTTGCATCAGTTATTTTTGTCTTTAACTAGGAATCTAATATCAGTTGCCTCATTTATAGTGAGAATATTACGAACTCTGCCCTAGCTGTTCAAACAGGAAGATATAAGTGAAAGCTCCATACAAATGTCAGTTATATATGAGTAGGAGTTTATTTCATTCTCCTCTGAATTAATTATATTGTATGATAGATGACTGACATACACTAACAATTAGTTTATGGACTTCCAACATTTTAATCTCTATCTCATGAAATCTGATCAGTGTATTCAAAGCATTTTTTTCAAGCATGGGTTTCTGGGATAGACTTCACATTTATGTAACTGTCTAAACTATAATTTTCTTTTTCACACACACTTTCTGCACGCACATACTGTGCCCCTACCTCCCTTGCCCAATAACCAGCTATTCTGAGGCTGCACTTTAGTTTCTGAGGTTCTTGTTTTTGTTTTGTTTTGCATTGTTTTGTGTTTGCTTTTTGCTTTGTCTTGCTTCTACCTGGGATACTCAAATGCAGTGAGGCAGAAGAGAAATTACTCGTACTAGGAACAAATCTTTACACTTGATTATGCTTGACACTTAATTTAGAGAGAAAGAGTCTGGCCAAGGTTTCTCTCCCCTGCATAGGTTCCGGTGATATGGCTTTCTTTTGAGTCTGCCTGTTGCTTTCCTATTGATATGGTGGAACACTGATATGGATTCCACTCTCCCTCTTCACAGAAGGACTTAGTGCTCTGCTGTAAGGGGTGCACCTTTCCCACAGCAGCCTGTGATACAAGACCTCTCTGATGGGAAGATTTCATCCCAGAGCTTCACATTTGGTTGACCAAAGCTTTGTCTAGTCTGTCCTACACTTAAGTTTCTCTGATTATTCCTGCTTCATCCATCCTCCTGGGTGTTGCTGCCCTATGAATGTTTTGTATACCAATATCCAGCATCTATTTTATCTTTGTTTCTGAAGAACCTCACCTGAAATACAGTCTTCCCTAAAGCACCTGCTACCTGATTCTTCTAAAGCTAAGTCCACCAGTTTCCAGTGACAGCATCACATAGTCATGGATCTCTTCCTATTCCCATAAGAAATGAAGATTTTTTACAAGAGAAAAATACTCAAGTGTTCAGTATTTAGCTTAACACCTTGGTTTCTCAAAGAAACTCTCGTCCCACATGCCCCGGAGAATAATCCTTTCAGTGTGCTCTGGCTGTGGACAACACAAACTGGCAAAAGCAGTTTTTTATAGGCAGTTCTTGCTTCCTACCTTGCTTGAAACTTCCCCTATTCGAGAAAGCCCCAGTCTGTAATAGCTTGGAAGATTTAGCCTGGAAGAAAGGAAACTATAATGAGAGTAAAAGATACATTGATGTCTTAATAAATTATTCTAAGGTCTGAAGTAGGAGGACATCGGCTTCATTTCTGTGCTTTATAAAAAAGAATAATGGCTACAGAATGGATTGTGGGTTGAGTGGGTTGAAAGTGGGTGGAGACAAAGTCAGCTATGGAGCCCCACAGAAGCCTAGCAGAGAGCTGAGTTCAGCCTCGACCACAGGAGTAATGGACATTCAGACTTGGAGACTGAACATGAGTGATCATTCTGAGTTAGAGAGACGGGTTTTAGAACTTGAAAAGGAGGAAGAACTCAAAGATGACTAAAACGCCTATTCTGAGCTAAAGGAAAGACGATGAACAGAAGCAGAGGCATAGAAAATAGAGCAATTTTGAGAGGGAAGACAATGAGTTTGGTAGTGTATTCCTCACCTTTCTGGTTGCTGAGACACAATATCCAACACTCTCAACTTAAAAGCAGAGAGGTTTCAGTCCATGATCTGACGGCTCTAAGGCAGAGTCTTCATGGCTGAAGAAAGTGAGTATGAAGTTGCTTAGTTCATGGCAACTGGGAAGCAGAGCATCCAACAATGCTAGTGAGGAAGGGGCAGGGAGCCAGTGCATATACAGCCAGGCTATTCCTCCAGGACCCACCTGTTCACACCTAAAACTGTGCTGCACGAATGATGGGGGCAGATACCAGAGCCAATCAAGTTGAAACTCCGTCCTAGCTGCCACGTTGTGAGAAAGGCAAAATGAGAGTTGGCAGCGGGGAAACGGATGGATAGAAGCTAAAGTGAGTGTCAGAATTAGCCAAAGAGAGAAGTGCTGCTGAATCATACCGGTGCATTTGTTCTCTCTCTCTCTCTCTCTCTCTCTCTCTCTCTCTCTCTCTCTCTCTCTCTCTTTCTCCCCCTCTCTCTCTGATGTTTATATTACTGAAGATAAACCTATAAACCACATGCTAGGTAAGTGTTCTACCACTGAGCAGTATCCCAGTCCCAGATTTGCTTCTTTACAGTCAATGATGTGGAGAGGGATGTCTTTGTGATCAGAAAGTTTTACAGTTGCTGGATAGAATCTGTTGATATCCAGCTGATTCTACTTTCTCTGGAGCTTTAGCTTGTACATAGGCAGGATACAAGAGGTGTCTTGTACTGGTGCTGAAAGAGGAACAAATTAAGCAGACAGTACATCTGAAAACAGAACAAGCAGACAATGAGATATTGCTGTAGTTTAGAGTTTGAATGTTCCCCCAGGACCATGTGTGAAAGGCGTCAGCCTCAGGTATTGCTACAGGAAGTGGGTGCAGCCTCATAAAAGTCTTTAAGCCACAGTAGACGCCTTTGATGGAGACTGTGGGCCCTGTCTCTCTCTTCACTTTCTTTTGCTTCCTGTTCATAGGGTGAGTCGTTTTGCTCTGCTGCACCATCCTGTGATGAAATCTTACTTTTCTCAGGCAGAAAAGCTACAGGGGCCACTCAGTCATGCACTAGAATCTACCAACTGTGAGCTAAAATGAGCCTGTTCTCTTTGTAAGTCAATTACTTTGTTATAATGATGACTAACAGATATAGGTAGAAGACTGAAAACTAATTTGTGGATTTTTTGGTTTGTTTTTTTTTTTTTTGCTCTTTAAAGAAAAAGAAAGAAAGCACTCCAAATAAAGAAAAGAGACTCATTATTTCCTAACTCAACTTCTTCTCTCAGAAGAAGAGCAAACTGATAAATATTCTATTTCATCATGATTTGGGATCAGATTAAGCTAGAAGAATGGGATTCTGCAATCCTTTAACTTCATTACATTAACAAAAGAAGAAAGCTTTTGACCCCAAATGAAAAATTTCTTTCCTGTCATTTAAATATTAGCCATTAAGTCTCTGCTTCCAGGAATCTGAAGTAAAAACTCCAAATCTTTTGGAAATATCTGTAAAGCACACTTTTTATGCCCAATAAGTCTTCTTACTTAGAAATAGCAGAGGATAATTCATATTTTTCCACCTAAACTACTTAATATCATACAATATTTATAATATAAGGGTTATTTTAAATACTATATTTGAAAAAGTTTTGGACTAATTGTCACAGTTTCTTTTTATTTATTTATTTGGTACAGGGGATCAAACTTGGGTCCTTGCACTTGTGAGGCAGGCAGCGAAAACACTGAGCTACAGTCCTAGACCTGTCATAGTTTTTAAAAGCTAATATTAATTAAATAATATTGTGTCACTCTATTGTCTTTTCCTGCATGACCTTGTATTTCTCTTATCTAATATTTGAGGGTGACAAATTATTGTGCCTATTTTACAGATGAGAAAAGTAAAGCCCATATACATTTTAACTACTTCTTTCAAAGTCACATGTCTGGAAAATGTGCAAGATAGGATTAAAGGTAAAACTGTCTGATTTCTAAACATTTTTGTTTTTATCTGCTGGTGCTGGGGATTGGACCCAGGGCCTCATGCATACTAGAGAAGTGCTCTACCATTGAGGGCTAATCCCTGCTCCTAACTTTTGAAATGACTACACATTATGCTATTTTCTACATGTTGGGTTAAATTATGAAATAAAGGCATCAGTTGTTTGTCATGATTGTTAAAAATCAGTGCAAAATAAAGGAATAATTTAAGAGGTTTTTGTACTTTATGGTTCCCATGATGCAAAGGGTTTTAGTAAAAATACTTTTAAAAAATGTAGTTGATTTTGTGATATATCAAGAATTAGCTCAGATCAAAAATGTTTCCATTACAAAGATAAATACAGAGTCACAAATATGGTAGATAATTTTTAGGATGCTTTAAAGAAGCAATCGTTTTATAATTTAAAAATAATTTTGTATGCTATTTCATCCTTATCCTAGTTAAATTTAACCTGAAGTTATTTGACATATTACTGTTGTCTGTAGTTTATTTGAATCTTAATTTTTCCATAGGAATACAGTTTGGCCAGGATACTTGTTGGAATAGGATAAAATTATAGCTAAAATAATAATACTCACCATTTATAAGGAAATTTTAATTTCAGTGTTATTGTGTTATTTAAAAATTACTTTTAAAATATAAATTACTGCTTGATATTTTTAAAAGGTTATTAATACATACTTGTACAAATTTACGGGATACATTGTGATGATTCAATCCATTTATGCAATGTATCAAAGAAGAATTAAGGGAAAATAAAAAATATGAGAAAATGAGAAAATGGAAATAAAATTTTGTAAATAGGGAAGGGAGGTGGTGGTGAAGGAAAGGCAGAGGTATGGGGAAAAAATGAGAACCAAGACCTGTCACATAAAGGTGCAAGATCCCAATAATGAATGTAACTGTACTGTCTACCTAAAATGTACCAATAAACTCAATGAGGAAAAAAGTGAATTAAAAAAAAAGAATTACCATTTCCATTTCCTTACATATTTATTTCATAAAAGGCACTTCTGAAAAGATTGAACCCCAGGTTTAAGCAATTCTTCCTGTTTCATTTGGTAATTTTGGATAATAGGAAATTATTAAAAATAACAGATTTTTAAAATTTACCATTTCCCAATTAACTAATTTCAATTTGTAATGCTCTGAAATAATAAATTAAATGTTTTAGTACCTTTAATCTAAAACTGTGGACCATATTTGTGATAAAGGTCCTTTATGACCCTGGAAATACATTGGAAAACATACTTTGCACTTGGAAACTCTATTAGTTATTGTAATATCAGACTGTGATTTAATATGGAAAGAAAAAGACAACACTGTGTATATTTCAAAAACAGACCAAGATAGTTTTGTTTCTTTCTTTCTTTCTTTCTTTCTTTCTTTCTTTCTTTTTTTTTTTTTTTAATGTTTTGAGACAGGGTCTCACTATGTAGTTGACATTGACCTGGAACTCACTATGTAGCCCAGGTTGGTCTTGAACTCACAGCGATCCTCCTGCCTCAGCCTTCTGAGTGCTGGGATTAAAGGCTTGCTCCACCACGCCCTGCTCGAGTTAGTTCTTGAGTGGCTGGTTATGTGCTCCATTCCACAGAGGTATTCTGAAATTCTGGTTAGTGAAGACTATCATTTTCACAATGTCGCACTGATATCCATCCACCTGGCGAATGGAAAAGAGAAAGCCACAAGGATTTTGAATGAGATATTTTAATGAACTGGGCAAATAAAATCTGCAAATCATTTTCATTCACTTTCCATTAGCTACAATGCAGCTATAAGACTTCTTACTGCAAAGAAAGAGAAAATTGGTATAAGCATATTTATACTGATTCATGACACATACAGAGGGACTAAGTCCCAACATTTTCATTTTTACTTCCTGGTAGTGTGTGTGCACATGTGTATGGTTTTGGGGATTGAATTTGGGACCTTTGCACAGAATTGCATCTCTACCTTTTAATTTTTATTTATTTTAAAATTTTTAGACAGGGACTCACTAAGTCACATAGTTGCACATGCTGGACTCAGATTTTCAAATCTCCTACCTTAGCCTCCGAGAGTGCTAAAATTGATACCACACCAGCCTATATCCTGTCACCTTGTTTAAACTGAGTCTCAGTTTCTTCATATTTTGTGTTTTTATGTGTTTTGTGTTCATATTTTGTGTTTTTATGTTATGTTGTGTGTTTTTTGAAAGAATGAAATGTGATTTATCTATCACACACTTAGCTAGTTTTTTGGCAATAGAACCATTCAGAAAATGGTAACTATCTTTCTATTTGTTAGAAGACTGTCAGGTATTTTGCTTTGAGAATTATGATGACATATCAGAACTAGGTGGTTATGATCCACGATCAGAAATTATTGTATAAAATCTTAAGCACTGGTTAAATTTTAATCCAACATAATCAATGTGCTTTCAGCCACTTGTGCTTGTCAAGGCACTATGTAGTTTAGCAAGAATGGAAACATCTCCAGGGCAAATGAATGCCGGGAGGCTTTACTGATAATGAGTGGCTCCCACTTGTGTTGTGGGAAAGGGAGGCCTACAGTTTAAGAACTGCTGGTTTACCTAGGTTGAGATCTGGTTACTGCTTTGGGAGCTTAGATTACAAGAAGTAAAGTTTGCTTGGGAAAGAAGCAGACACTATTCTTAGTCTTCTTTGATTTCCTTAAACAAATATCGTCTACTTTGTCTATGAATCCCTAGGTACTTTCTATGTAGTGATGCCTACCTCAGTTACATATATGCACACATGCATGTACTCACTCATATTTGGACATTTCATGACATTCAGAAGATAGGTACAACCATTTGTAGTTCTGTATGAAAGTGATTCAAACAGAGGAAGGGAATCAATTTTCCAAAGACAGTTTGATACTGTGCAAAGGTGAGGGTTGTTTGGGGTATGAAAGTAGAAGGAGAATAAGAAAAACAACTGATAATGCAACTTCTGATTGCAGGAAGATGCAATATGTTGGAGGAAAATGTCTCCATAGTACCCATAATATTGCAGCGCATTTCAAGATTGCTAATTATGTCCCAATGTTTAGCCCCAGGTAGATGTATCCAACATCATAAATTCCTGATAATAATTCATGCCTTATTTTGCTTCATTTTCAAGACAGAGCCTTTCTTAAAATTCACGCACACTCACAGAGCACACACACAATATCTATGTATTTCAGAGATGTCAATGACATTGGCTTCTCGTTCATTTAAAACGTAGAGTTAAATAATACACAAAAATGACAGCAACAACACTGAAACTCATGCCACAAAGGGTGCTTTGCCATTTGACGGGGAATAGAAACTCTGTGGCTAATGGGACCGTGCTGTAACTCTCTTGAGCACTCCTCCAGCTACATATATCCCTGTGGAAAGTAGCAATTACCTTCAGTCTCTTTGATCTGAAGTAATCCTTGCTACATGCGTTCCTCCTTGTGAGCGATGAGGCTCACTGTTTGCTGAGTCTAAAACCAAATGATCTTTCACAAGCAAAATTTAAACTTGAAATAGGATTCTCCGAGTCCCAATTCTGAGTCTATTTTTTTCATGTACTTTATACATTCCCAAATCAGGTTCAGACCGGCTACAGATGGTGTTGGTGTGTAATGAGAAGGGCTCAGAAGCTGCTCCAGCTCCCAAGGGAGGTTTCAGTAATGGAACTAACTATGTATTGTCCACCTTATACACTAGATTTGATTTTGGACTATTTGCCCAACTATGTGTGTTTATTTCTCAGCACTGGAGGGCTTCCATTAGCTCCAGGCTGATTGAACATGGACTACAGAGTAAGAAGAAATAGAACATTTTCCCCCCTGACTGCTGATGTACTCCCCTTTCTTTTACTGACAACTGAGTAATGTTTGCCATTGCAAACTATTATAAATTAGCTGATATTTGCAGTCATTAGTAAAAAAGCATTGTTTTAATCACAGGGAACAAAGTAAGCACTATTTTTTGGATGACAGTGTTTCTGAAGTTTGTGCCGAAAACTTGCATATTCAAGCCTCTAAAAGAGAAACTGCTAACATTTTTTAAAGCTGAAAATTACCTTGTTTCAGTAAATCGAAAGATTAATATTTAAGACCTCATAAATTTTGCTCACAGAGCATAGCCAAATATTATTATCATAACGAAAACAAAAACCTCAACTCAGCAAATTAGTCACCAAAGACCACATGTAAATTGACATTTTAGTTTCTTAACTAATGGAATCATTTGTCATTTTACTGAAGCAGTTCATTATAAAAATAAATTAAGAATAAGTAAATTGTAGTCATAGCAATCATGATGAAATTATTAGTAATCACATTTACTAGCATAAAAGTTTTCTGCATGCTTATCAGCAGATGTTCAAAATAACTTTGGAATTAAGCATCAATGCTGCATCAAGGTTTATTTCTTTAATTAAAAAAAGCATGGTGGAAACAGGAAAGAACGTTGCTAATTAAAAAAATTACAGAAAATGTCCTCCCCCTTCAAATATACACAAGTTCAACTGTGCAATTCTAATACCAAAATGAAGGGAGTGAGAAATCTCTCTACCACCTTAAATAGTAAAAAGAAAATTAGAAAGCAGAAACCAACTCATGCAGTTTCTAAATAAATGAAAAGGAAATTACATTTCTCTGGGTAAATATTTACTTCCTAAAGCGTGCCAACAAAAGCTACTATTTTAGAAATGAGACATGGTAGTAACTAACTTGTACTTAGTTGATTTAATTGGAAATGTGCTGTTTTTCCTTTTAAGCTGTGATTGAATTGTAGAATAAGAAATTTCAATCTGATTCCCTAATTGCACTTGGGATCTGGTATCCTGTTTACATATATATTGATCTGTGAGATGGCCTCATATGTATTAGTGTAGGCCATATTAGGAAGAACATCTAGCCTGTTTTTTTCTGCAGCATACACTAATAAGATATGTTTACTTCTATATTTTAAAGTAATTTTTATACTTAAATGTTCGTTTTATACAGATAAGCATAAGCCTCTGACTTGAAACTTCAGTCGGCAAAAATTTTTTTGAGTGCAAAAATTTAAAAATAAGAATCCATTTTTGAAAGTTCACAAATGTAATCTGTAAGTTCACATACAGAAAAATCTATTTGCTGAAAATGTTTTTATCTCTGATACCTACATAGAAGGATTTGTCTACATGGCTGTTTTTTTCTTGTTAATGTTTGGCTTATTAAACTGCTGTTATGAAAATAAGACTTTTCTTTCAAATTTGCTTGTGTACCTAATTATGTATACGAAATAACAAAGATTGCAGCTGTTCTTGTTTTCCTTTACAAAAGTGAAACATTTGTGACGTTTTTAAAACAGTTGCAATTATAACCATATCTCTATTGTTACAATTTTTATTTCTCATTAGAAAAACACTGTGTTTTTCAGTACATGCAATTAGACCTGATCATCTGGGGTGTAAGATTTGGATACAGAATGACTTGGTTCAAAAATTATCTTCAGGTGAATTTAGGACAAGACAGCGCTGCTACCCGACAGTGAGAACTGCCTACTGAATTCTACTGGCCTTGCCGCCTGAAATGAAGCTAGAAAATAAAAGTGGAAGAAGGGAAGGATCAAGGGTGGAGAGGGGAGAACAGGGATGGGTGATGATAAGAATGTAAAATCCTAGGATGCATCTGGGATCCGGACCTTAACAGCAAACATTCCTGGGTATTCCTTTCATTTATAGGCAGTTACAGCTATTTCTTCATTTATGTTAAAACACACCAGAAAATTGTGGGAGTCCTAAGGAATCTTAATCCCTTTTTAAGTTGCAGAGTTGTGTAATAGCTATGGGGCAATGCTCAGCTGCTTGAAATTCATAGAATTTTCCTGTTAGTTGGAAGTGGGTAGTAGGGGAATAATGTATCTAATATACTTAGGTTGTAAATAATATATGTGGGCTGTTATATATATAAATTCTTTTTTAAATAACCAATAACCAATCATCTAAGGGGAAATAAAAAAGTAAAACATCATGGTAGTTCTTCCCCACTTTACAAATCTTAATATTTGCAGGCTGAAAAAAAACGTTGAAATATAACTTGATAACACATCATTGTAATGTCACAATCCATGAAAACGAAAGGACTCAGATGGTTTTTGACTATCACCTTCTGATAAACTTCATAAAGGAGGCAGATGTAAATAAATGTGCTTTGAATCTTAACATTTTAGAACTCAACCCTTGAACAAATCGATTTATGCTTTATGAGTCAAATGAAGAATTTTTATTGAAAAGCATTCTATGATGACTGTTTTTTTCTCTCAGTGGGAATGTGTGTGTGCATGTGTGTGTGCGTGCGCGTGCTCATGTGAGTGCATGTGTTCATGTGCACACAAGGCTGCTTTGGGGACCTCGTGCAGTAAGTTACAATGATGGAGCATGACAGTCAGAATAGCGCACACTATTAGCTAGACCTCAACTCTATTACACTGCTATGTTTGGTGACATAGAATCAAGAGACTCAAGGATACAAGGTCAAAGGTAGCAAAACATTACATTAATCTGTTCTCTTCGTGAGATACCAGTGTTTCTCCATGTAAAATATAGCATCTGCTGTTTAATTATGAGAAACGAATGCCCAAGGATATCATTTAACAAAAACTACAAAAATCGAAAATAGCTGAAGGTTTGCAGATACTATTTCCCTAGCTGCTACTGTTTGTTTAATTTTTATGACCTCTACAGTTATTACCGGATTGCTCAT